TTGCCCCCCCCCCCCCCCCCCCCCCCCCCCCCCCAAGATAAAACATTTCCTTACTTCTGTGGAGTCTTAATGACCAAGTGTACAGTCAGCCCATCTTTGATCCCATGTTGATTCAACGTGTCTCCATCCTTCAGGATCTTCCCAGCAAAGATCAGAACCAGCTGATCCTGTTTGGCTTTAAACCGCCTGGAAATCTCTTCTTTGAACTGAAAAAAACCAAACAAAGCATTTTTCAGGTGAAGGACCAAAACCAGAAATTTAAAGCCGATACTCTGGATATCACATCCACTATGCAAACAGCGTGAGGAACTGACAGCCCTCCAGTACCTCACCCAAGAGGAGCCCATGCAGGTACCGATTCATCACCAGTTGCTGAGGGTGTCTGAGGCGTTAAGGGAAAAAAAAACCAAACCACCACCACCACAAAGAGAAGCTCTACACTTCCAAAACGTGGAATACATTTCAGAAAGAATAGAGCAATTACCTCAAGAAGAGCTGAAGGCTTCCAAAGCCAGATCAAGTGTGTCTCTTAGGTCTAATCCAAATACACCATTTATCCTCTAAATGACTGAACTTTTTTTTTTTTTCTTTTCGTCTCTGCTCATTTGATTTTTTTCCTAAGGAAAGCCCAACTCTGATTTAATACAGGACAGAGCTCTACGGAAAAGGGAACAATCCTTTATCAGCCAATGGAAATAAACTAGGTCTTCTCCAATTCCTATTTCTGCAGCTGAATTCCCTGCGAGCGTGCCACGCCACGTAACACGGACACCTCTTCTTCGCTGTGTGACGGGGTGGGATTAACACCTGCCAATACCATTGTCACCGCTAGCCCAGCTGGGACATTCCCAAGCTGATTTGTGAGGAAAAAGCCTTGCATTTGGAAGCCACAAAGTAGAGGGAATTCGGAGGGAAAGAGAAGTACACACCTGTCCCAGCCTTCGCAGCGGAACCCTCAAAAACAACGCCTGGGAGAGCGCAGCCTGAACCCCCAGGTCACAAAGCCTCGTGCCCTCCTCTGCACAAAGCTGTCACTAAACATCCCGCTTGGGATGGGGGCTCTCAGGACTGAGTGGGAAGGAAAAAAAGAGGGCCACCCGTCCTGCAGCCCCCGCCTACCCCACGACTCTGCTCCCCAGAGATCTCCGCCAGGTCCTTCACGCCGCAGCCTCGTGCCCTGCGCCCCAGCCCAAAGCAGGCAGCAGCCCCGGAGCTGAGATGGCACCTTGTCCCAGTGGGCACAGCCACCGCCACCACAGCGCTGGAGCCAGGCCTTGCACATTCCAGCCCCCTCCCGCTCGCCCCGTGCCACCCTGCCCCGTGACGCTCCCTCGCAGGAGGGGCTGACGTTCCCTCGCCTCCGCTCCGGCCAACCTTCGGCCCCAAAAACTCGCCCGGCCCCTCTCGCCGGAGGGACCTGCCCCCACACCACCAGCTGCCTCCCCATAGGCAGCCCCACACACACTCACATCCAGCTCTGCCCCCAGAGCTGCCTCTCCCCATCGCAGCACCCTTCCCTTACCAACCGCTCAAGGGAAACCTTCCCTCCCGCTCCCCGTGCAGCCCAGCCCAGACCCCCACCTCAATTCTTCACACCCCTCTCCCCACAGCTCCCATCCACCCCAAAGCTCCCTTCCCCACAGAGCCATCCTCCAACCCCCCCCACTCCATCCTCACCCCATGAACCCTCCCACAGATTACCCCCAGCACCATCTTCCCCCCCTTCCTCTGCCGGGACTGTCCCCATCCCGAGTGTCACCTCCTCACTCAAAGCCCCCCATAGGCCCCTGGTCTCCCAGCTCCCCCCAAGCCTGGCTCCCACAAGGCCCCAAAAGCCAGGGGTATCCCCCAAACCTCCCCAGCTCTCCCCACAACCCGAAGCCAGGTCTCCTAAAATCCCCCAAATCCCTCACTGCCAACCCAAAGCTGTGTTACCCCCACTTCTCAGCAACCCCAGCTCCCTCACTCCCCCTCCAAAGTGCTCTCCCCTCCCCAAAGCCAGATTGCTCCCCAAAAAGCCCCTGCACTCAGCTCCCCAGCCCCTCACCCCGCAAAAAACAGGCCCCTCCAGGTCCCCTCAGACCCTCACCCCCCAAAAACAGG